TTGGGAATGCCATAAAAAGACGTGAGGTAGCATTTACACTCAAATACCTGAATCTAAAACTTAGAAACTCTCAACATAAATAGATCACAATCAGTAGACTTTTTACACCCTACTCTTTCCATATCTATCATCTACCTGTCAATATGCATCCCAATGACGCCTGATGATTTGTTTCTGAATCATCCCGAAGTGACTGCATTTTCGACCCGAGGAAGTAGCAAGAGATGCATTGGTATTAACTAGCGACATCTTTCAACTATTTACGTCTTCTAACTGGCAGAGACAAATGTCAATGTTTCCACTAAAAGTTACATTTTTGTGGCCTTAAGAAATGGAAAAATGGTATTAGCGAAAACGTAGTTACAAACCTCTTCTGCTCTCCGTACCCGATTTATGACAACACTAATAAAATTAAGAACAGTGAAGTTTTTCGAATTGTTGTTATGGGAGGATGTGAAAATGCAATAAATGATTCCGAGGGAGAATAAACAACCGTCCTCAGTGATTTAACTCGGATTCTAGGTTAGTTGAAAAGCCGGTGATTTTCCATGGTAAGCTTTGGGTGTGGTAACGAAACATCCATTCTCTTCGGTATTTTCGCGAATTGGAGCGTCTGTTGTATCTTTGCAGTCGCCTGATAAGAACTTATTGTGACGAAAGTTGGAAAACAACACACAAGTGTTTTGATGAATGATAATCGGTGCCTATTTATTTTTGCCACGCGCGTCGTGTGAGGTCAGGGAAAAGATAAAAGTGTGTGTGCTGAATAAAAATACAAAAACGTTCGAAAGTGCACAACCTCATTCAACGGGGAGAGAGATCAATTGTGATTCAAAATTGCGCACATTTGCTCTCCTCGTTGTCGATCCGCATAGTCCATAGCTTCGTAATGAAGCCTTCGATGAACTGGTGCCTCATCCTTGGCCAACGGAACTTCACTGGACCGGCCCCCAAGAAGATGACCGACTTGTCCTTGCCTACTTTGCTGGGCCAGTTCTCGCATTTCTTCAGGAAGATTGAAATATCCTTTACGGATCGGCTCTGGAGACAAGTGATCATTTGTTAACAGCTCTCTGGTGGCATCACCTTTGCTGCGTAACACTGTCTCCTGACCTTCGGAAGAACGAACGCCCCGAGGCTAAAACAAAAGTAGGACCGATATAATATGTAATTCCTTTTAAACTGACAAAACATTAAAGTTAAAAATGATCGTTCAATCTACTCTTTTGATGATGCAGGCAAACAGTAACGTACTCCCCTTGTGTTTGAGAACACTTACGTGGATTTTACGAGCACATGGAACGGTCACTGAGACAGTTTCATTTCCCAAGTAGGAGGACATTTCGCCCCTATTCCTTTGCATTGCATCGAAAGCCTCGTCAGAACGCAGTCTTGGCTTTTGTGCTGGCCCTGTGACAGACTCATCTTTCATCATTGGATCACGGCTACTCGAATTAATTTGCATACAGCTGCGTAGCTGAGCTCCGCTAACTGATTTATTTCGATAATCTTCGGCTTCTGGTCTGATCCGATAGCACGTTTTCGGTCGGTCCCTGTCAGAAGGGGCTTTAAAGAAAACATTAAAAACAAAGAAAACCGATGGTTCAACAAAAATACTGAACAAATTGATCGATAAACAATACAACACAAATAAAAACTGGGAAAGACCAATAAATCCATTTCTCCAGATTTGTAGCACTTACAGTAAACAGGAGTTCAGTTCTATTTCTAGTAGATAATGCGAGGAAGATATGCAACGAGATACGATAGTGCAAGATCTACGGTTCGTTAGGTCTGACTTCAAATGCAGTAGATCTCCGGATACCAAGCTAGGAAAATAATTTAGTGCAGTGAGAACATTTTAACGAAGACCCAGGTTAGAAAGAAGCCATTGCAAATTTCAAAGCCGTTCAACGTGAACAAGCCAGCTGAGGTCATAAAAAGGAGATTATTCAATACTTTTGATAAAGCATACCACGCAAGAACGCTCTACATGTTGCTTATCTCTAAGACAATTGTGTATTTGGAATTAAAGGATAAGGTGCATGCTTCCACCATCTCAGTCTGTGTATATTCATTACGTCGTTTCTGCGAATAGAAATATAAGTCGCATAGTCAAACAGTCATCCGAACGGATCCATGAATACAATCCCGGATGGCTGAACAGTGAAGCAGTTTTTTCACATCGAGTTTAAACAAATCACACTGTGGACATGGCCGAAGCCTTCCTTCTGTATAGGGTTTGCGATCGATTATTCCGGAAGGTTCACTTTCGTATGCTAACCACGACGGAAGCTGTAGGAATTAGTCTGCTTACACACCTGTGTGCCAAAATATAATTTTTGCGAGCATATAAGCTTCTCTGAACTACCCATCCAAACTATTCCGAGTAACCTTGGATATCGGATAAACGGATAAACTTATATGAGTCTGAGATCCGGTCTCAAGATGTGATTACTCCCTCCCGGCAATCTGTAACATGAACTTTTTCCCGAAACAGTTTTCTTTTTGACCAATAGTACATATTGTGATACATACTTATTTTGACACAGAAAACGCGCTTGTTCTCGCTCTATTGTGTTTGAGTTACTGTGGTCTTTGTGCGACTGTTTAGGAAAAGATAAGAACAGATCGTGGCGTGTTTTGTGACAGTACGATGCAGCCTGGCGAATCGGTCGGGGATAATACAAAACGTTTGCTGGTAATGAAGACCTTCGTTATTGAATTGTCTCAACTATTCAGAACACAGTAAGTGAGGGGTAGTATAAGTCAATGTGTTGAGATGTACTAAGGTTGAATGTTGTCAAAAATATATCCTCNTATCCTCATCTTATCCAGCTAATTATATGGTCAGAAAAGTCAGTCTAGGGATTCGCTCCAGCTAAAACACAATTTTGTTTTAACCGGTTGAAATATATATGGGTATATATGGGTACAGTTGAAGTCTGAAGGATACGAGCCAAGCCAGGCTCACACGTCACTGCCATGAATCTTTGGTTAAAACATCCCTTAATTTTTACACAAAATATTCATCTAATGGTTAACTTGTTAGAGTGTTTTGCCTAGAGTTCAGCATCACAAACTGTATACTCGAGTTTGTGATATTCGAAGTACGACAAACTAAATAAAAGTATATCAAAAGGTGAAACACACAAAAATATTGTTATTCCATTCATGTACTATTTTCCATTTTTACTGTTTCACCTTTCTTTCACTCTGTTCTATATCTCAATCCACCCATCCCTTGTGGTTGTTAATGTTAACATTGCAGTGCTTTTGATACTAAGCTTGTCCTCAAGCACGCAACGCCCATATTTTCGATCATTTTCTGGTTAAAATCGGAATAAGAACACGAGGCTCGGTTTCAGTTCAGTTTGTACAACCGTTAGCCATGCGCTTTGTTGCGTTAGTTTTGTCTACTATCTTTTGGCTGCCCGTTTAGATGCAGCAGTAAGGGAAGTACACGGAAGTTGAAGTAGAGTCGGAGAGAGAGTGGAGAACTTCAATGGAATAAGATTGTAAAGAAATCGGGGTGCACGAACGCCACTTATTACGATACAGCCATATCACTCAGTTTCCCTGACCATTGATTACAATGATCCCGAGGTCTCAATTCAGGGAGCCTAACACGACTTGTATGAGCAAGTCGCCTGGTTAAGGTTTTCATACTTTCGTGCCAGACCTTATTTTGACCGCAAGTGCAATTGAACATTCTTGAGTACCTAGCAGTTCAGTGATTTTTCATCTCAGTACTAGCAGTGAGGATATTATCGGAGTGGTGGAAACCCTATATGCAGTCCAACTAATATGCTGAACAGACATCAAAATTAAGAGTTATGATGCGTTTATGTGATCATTGTAGCGGAAAGGCAGCCCAGGCTATAAATTGGAGAATTTTAATCACTTAAACTCCACATTAGCTTGCTCTATCCAAGCTTTCTCATTGGATGACCGTTTGTCGTATCACCTTAACAGGGAATCATGGTCGCATGATCAAATTATGATTTACTATACACGTTCCAAAAACCACATATTTCATTATTTCATACACTCTTCCGAATCACGTTCTTCTATCTAAAACTGTAGCTTTAACCACAAAACCAGCTTTCAACTCCCTATGTCGCTTTCCCCGTCACATCTGAGTGAGACTTGTTTGCGTATATTACTGCATTTAGGTGAGTGAATACTGGAACTCGTAAATGGAACTTGTGCATGTTACATTCTAACTACCAGCTCTTATCTTCTTCGAGCAGAAATACCAACTCATGATTTGCTTACACGTTGTTTCACGTGACAGCCAAAACTGAGGTTCTAGAACCAACTACAACTTGAATCCAACATGACGCAAACAACAGAAGGATAGTCGATTAACATCCGTAGTAGTAGTAGTAGTAGTAGTAGTAGTATTGCTTATCCAATGCTACTGCTCAGAAACCAATGCAAGTATCATAAATTTCATCAACTGTGAAATTTTGAGTAAAAGTGCAGTAGTTCATGGTTTTGGAATGAGCAACTATTTGCTGATAGAACTTTTCTTCGAGAATGATCCTGTGTTATGATATGTAGTATAGAAACAACAATTGCATTCAAGCAATAATCCGCGCTTTATGCTGCGAGGAGGGTAAATTATTTCAAAGTATGTTATTTAGTAGATTGCAAAATACAAAAGTGTCTTATGCCTCGAAGTATGAAAGGTTCAGTAGTCAGGCAACAGCCAAACCAGGCATGGACGCCACCGTAATGTTTGGTGCAGCTCACGTAATATCGGTTAAGCCACGGCGTCACACCTATTCCGGCCCTTCTAAAGGATACTTACTGCATCACACAGGCAACCTAATGGATTCCATAAGTTGAGTGAATGACCCGAATGCAAAAAGATCATTGATAGTCTCGTCCTTCTGAGTAAACCGGGGATCTGTTGAATTATTAGTTCTTTTCAATGTTTTATGCTGTTAACCAACGGTCCTTATAAATAAGTTTACCGTTTTATGTCTTCTGTTGACAAAATTGATTAAGATACTGTTCTGGATCCTAGTGGCATATACGGTGGTATATGTATTTATTATTTCTTGTTCGTATTGTTTGGCAGACCTGATGAAAAACAGGCAAATTAAATGCTCGGTTGATCACACACATCCCACCATCCGCATGATTCTCACAATAAAAGCCGTAACGTAACCTGGTGAGACATGCTACGTATAAAAACTCTCCTTGGTCACAGCTACAGTTTTGAAAAAATCTTTGTGAACTCGTCTTATCATTCACTGTCTGCTCACCGAAAACCAACCATACTATTTGAAGCTACTACCAGAAGCGCTTAAAACGAATCAAACTAATGAATCCTCAAACTGCAAAACCCGTACCAAAGCCAATTATACTAAAGAGAAAACCCTGAATACTGTTTAACTGGTAAATAATAGGGATGCAACGGTAGGTATGAACGTGTGCTTGCCTTCCGACATTCTTGTGAACATTGATCCTCCGAGACAGCCGTTTCTTCCGCGAAGTTGCCATTCTTCTGCGTCCACACCACGAACTTTGGCCGTACGAGGTCTCATTGTCAGGGAACTGTGATGAGTCATGCTGTTAACTTCTTCCGTGTCGAGGTTATTCAATCTGCAGGAATTTCCAAATACGGTAGCCATATGAACTCCAAATCTATCCCAGCGCGCATTTGATCTCGCCTCCACCGTTGGACATCCGTAGGGTGCGCCGGGTACTCGTTCGTCTGGATCCTTTTGCATACAGAGAATATCTGCAGTGCCCTAAATACAGTAGATAGTTTGTGCTACAGCGTTCGGATTTGACGGATGTGTAATTAATGTCATTGCTAGTGAGATACGCAAAAATACATTTATCAATCAATCAATCAATCAATCAACCAATCACTCAATCAATCAGTCTATCTATATTTCTTTCTATCTATCCATTTTCAATATACATACACATCTAAAGTATATAATGTGTATATAACATTTCAATTCATTCATGCATCACTCACCCGATTTCGTAAGGCGTATTCTTCTCCGTCTCGCCGCACGCGGCTGCGTGTGGGCTGAGTGAATACTGCCTGGTCTTTCGCAGTTCGATGGCAAAACCAATCCTGACCGCGGTCACGAGAAGCATAGCCACTTTCCGTTTGCCTTGAATGCCGCTCCGGTACATGTTCGGAGACAGGATTGTGTTGAAACCAATCCTGTTTTCTAACCATGTTGTTGAAAATCTCCTACGAAGAACCAGTTTGGGGTAAAACACAGGCTTAAAATGAATCCAATCACTTAAAGGCGACTTCTGATGGTTATTTTTCTGGTTTCTCATTTAATATTACAATGAAAACATGTTGTTTGAAGGATCTGTAATGCAGTAACATGCGATATTTTATCCGAAAGCTCTTTAAAGCTCCGGTCTTTACATTAAAATCCAAGTGAACTCAATGAATTAACCCAAAGTTTATATTATTACTATTATTATTATTTCACACCGCTTGGAAACAAGCATGCTGCCAATGCAAAAAATGACAATAATGATCGTAAGCCGGAGAAAAATGAGATGAAAATGGGGAAATTAAAAAAGAAGTAGAAAAAATGAATGAATGAGTCATTTGTTTGATAATTTCACCAAAAATATTTTGAGTTTCTTTGTTTTTCTGTTATGTGGAACGGGGTTTCTAAAAACAAACCACACAGCTATTGTGCCACCGACTTCTATTCTTATACATGTCTCTCAGCATCTCTAACCATGAGCCATCCTCATGCCTCTGTCCCAACTCTTGAAGGCGATCTACACCAACCGAAGCAAATAGAGAGGGTAATTTTTTTATACCTCTACGCAAGGTCATTCATGGTCTGACCACCGCAGCGCTTCTCCCAGCCTTGTCCAGCACATGTAAAGAGAGCATTGGAAGGTAGACGATGTTCAGACATAAGCAAAACGTGACCAAGCCATCAGAGGCAGTGTAGAGCGATTACTTCTGTTAGAGAACGACTATCCACACCCAACACGCAACGACGAATCTCATCTCTGTCCATCCAATGCTCCCACGAGACAAGAGCAATGCTTCGGAGATATTGTTGGTCAAATACTGAAAGTCGATCAGCATCCCTAAAGTAGAGCACCACGAACCTCGTCAATGTACACTCTTCCCTTAAGGAGCAGTTGTCTGTCGTGATGACGCCCAAGTTTCGCAGATTGACCAAAGCCGCTCTTGATCTAGCTCTATTAAAAGCGCTCTACTACTTCTAGCTGATCACCACAAAGGTTGAGTATAGGCACAGGCTCCTGCCAGCCTTGAACCAGCGTTTTGCACTCGGATGGTGCAAAGCAAATGCCATACCTGAATACTGCTGTCACCAAGTGGTCTTAAGTATGTTGGATTGCCTGTGCATTCTCATCATAAAAGGCAGTGTCATTGGTATGTTGGTAGTCAAAATCTTTGTTACCTGAAAGGAGTTCGACTTCACCGTTTGCTAGACCGGACAAAGCGTCCTACAGAACATCTTCTATGGCAAAGTTGAAGATGAATGGAAATAAAGGGCAGTCTTGTCGTACTCTACCGGAGAAGGTAAAGGGTGGCGAACGCTGATCATAGACCTTAACCCGACCTGAGGTATGACGATACAACTCGTTGAGGATCGGCACATACTCCTCTGGTACTCCATTCCTTAACAAACTGTTCCGTAGTGCGGTCCTTTCGATAGAGTTGAAGGCCAAGTGGATGTATAAGAGCACAATAGTAGTTGGTCTGTGGTGAGCATGACGAAGCTCTAGCAAGTGTCAGGTGGTAGAGGTTTGATCGATGCATCCCAGACAGGCACAAAACCCAGCCTGTTCCCTACGAGCATGCACCTTAATCGTCTTGTATGAACTACAAAGAATGA